ATGAATTTTGGTTTTTCATTTTTTTCCCCTGTAAGAGGTTTTTATTTAATAGAATTTTTGGATAAAAAAATCGCAATATATCGTCTTGCTTACAGTATCGCAATATATCAGGATATATCGTATCGTGACCCCTCTGTCATGATATGTATCGTATCGCCAAATTCTTGCCAATACACAGCCCTACATGCTTATACATCATTTTAGCCTAGGCAGGCCTGAGACTGCTGCTGCTGTTTTATTTCAGATAATTTTTTTTTTTAACGGTTTCATCTTTTTTTCAACCTTCAGCCTCTAAGACGTTTTCCCTTTGATGCTGCCATCATCTTCTCTGACATCCTCGTCGTCCCCCAGGTAAGAACAAGCGAGAAAGAGATAAACAATAGTAGCTATAGACAGAGAGAAACATGTGTAATGGTTACTGAGCCGGTTGATGTTTAATAGGTTTATCTGCACTGTTTGTAGCCTGAGCCTCAGTTTCTTCTGCTGCCGTTTTGTTCGGATCTCTCTTGAGTTAAAAGCATCTTTTTTAAAGAAACTGTAGAGTTTCTTGAAGGAAAGCGAATCGCCCACTGCCAAAGTTTTAAGCAATGATCGTGTATGATTAGTTAGGACTCAGAGAATGTGTTGGAAATCAGCCTCAGCTACAACCACACCAAATGTTATCTCAATATTTGTGAAAGTCATTTAGATGTAGCCGTTTCTGTGTGCATTAATGTTTATTAGCTGTGGTGGATTTCTTCAGTTGGGTGGACTTCTAAGGCTAATCAGTTGTAGATCTAATGATTACTTTTGGAGAGCTTCATTTAAATCTGGGGTTCCTGAGATATTTTTCTAACAGACAAGTTTTACTCCAACAGTAAATGTAAAGATTTTACGGTGTGTTTCACTTGATGTGCATGGAGGACAGTGCTCACTTACTACCAAACTAAAGTTTTAGTCAGCATGTTTAAACTGACCGACTAACAGTCTTTTTTTTTTTGTATTCGCTAAAACCGCTTTGCTGTGGCAGCCGTATTGAATTTAATTTAGGTCAAACAGCCATCAGTTGTAGAGGTTCATCCCTTGATTATTTCCTGAAAGTTTTATTAAAATTCATTAGATATTTTCTAAATGATACAGAAGGACTAGGGCTGCAACGATTAATCGATTAATCGACGACTAATCGATTATTAAAATAATCGATGACTAATTTAATAATCAATTAATCATTTTCTTTTTTTTGTTCTTTGTTTTTCTCTCCAAACTGCTTTGACACCTTCCACTGCCACATCTACCTTTCTGTCCTTGACACACATGCACAGCAGTGGTAACTGGGGCAGGCCGTGGACGTCACAAGACATTATACAGACAGGCTCTGGTATCATGGCTACTAGGGTTGGGCATAATCGTATCGTGTACAATTAATCGTCAGAAAAACACTAATCGATTACTTTTTGACACTTGATGATTAATACGATTAATGCCACCAGGCAGACTGACGGGGGATTACTCCGGTCAGTCTGCTCGATGCTCCTCTCCGCTTCAAATATGACGAACATTAAAAATAAAGTTCTGTAATTTATTTATCTACACAATTTAAAATATGATGTATAGCCTGAAATCTGTAATTCTCACCCAATTTGGAACAAATTTTTACAAAAAGCAAATCTTTCCCACTAAACTGGTCATGTGACTACGAAATAATGGTGACCAGGGACTCCAGGGGATTAATTGTCAAATTAATCGTTTTCGGCTAAATACCACAATTAATCGTGATTAATTTTTTTGCCAATATTGCCCAACCCTAATGGCTACCTGTCAACGGAGCTCAAAAGTGTGGGATCTTTTTAAGAAAATGAAAGAGAAACCTGTGCAATATCTGCAGAGCAGAACTTACCTTCCACAGCAGTTATTTTTAGTTAGCATATAGCTAAACTCTAACTATGGTTATATAATAGCAGCTGCATTCTGGTGCAATAAGCTCTATGTTTTATATTCAATTAACGTATGATCCGATTAGTCGACTAATCGAAAAAAATAATCGGTGATAAATCGATTATAAAAATAATCGTTTGTGGCAGCCCTAAGAAGGACTGACAGTGAATGATAATGATACATAAAAATAACTTAAAGCTCTTAAAAGGAAACTTTTTTTCCTATAATCTAAGTCTCATATAATAATCTCATTCAGTAATAATAATTTTAATGTTTAAAATGTTTTATCTGATGAACAACTGGACCAACATGTCACACAACATGAAATGGGGATATCAACCTTTTGTATAGTTCATGCACAACAAATATCTTCTTTTTTTTTTCTCACTCCACAGGCCATGGGGATGGAAGTCCAGATGTTGACGGGCAAAGGTCCGACGTTCACAGACCCCCTGAAGGAGCCGGAGGACCTGCAGCGCCTGCGGGCCAAAGTGGACGTGAACAAGGAGCTGGGCTACGTCTTCAAGGCCATCACTCTGACCCGACACAAGATCGACGGAAAAGTTCCCCTCATAGGGTTCACAGGCGCTCCGGTCAGACACACACACACACACACACACACACACACACACACACACACACACACACACACACACACTTTAAATCATTTTTAATAAAAGCTTTGTTAAACTTTCCTTTCACCTGTCACTGTGTCCCTCTGCAGTGGACTCTCATGTCCTATATGATCGAAGGCGGCGGCTCCAACACGCACTCCAAAGCGAAGCGTTGGTTGTACCGGCACCCCGAGTCCAGCCACGTGCTGCTGAGGATGCTGACGGACGTCATCGTCGAGTACCTGCTGGGACAGGTAGCAGCTGGAGCTCAGGTCAGACCCAGTGAACTTTAAAATCTGGGATAATGTTTACAAATTTAACAAACTGCTTAAATCAAAACACATTTTCAATATAACTCTGAGGTAAAAACATTTTTTTTAAATATTTATTTAGGTACTGGTGCCAAAACCGTTAAAGGCAGAGGTTATGTGTTTTCCAGGCACATAATTCAATTCTTTACCACAAAGTAACTACATTACCTTCAGTTGTTCTGAAAATGCTGTTTGTATCAAAAATACATTTGACTTTGCATCAAAGGCTACGTTCACACTGCAGGTCYTAATGCTCAGTTCGGATTTTTTGAAAAAATCCGATCTTTTTGTGTGAACGTTCACATTACATTTTAAATGTGACCTGCATCAGACCCGTGTGTGAACGCTACACAGCACTGATGTGACACGCATGCGCAGTAAAAGACGTGACGTCTCATCAGCCGGTTCGTTTGTTTACATAGCATGGATGCTACTTTTAGCACGTCGAATCTGAAGCTGTTGTTTAATCTCAGAGCTGATTAAATAATTATCTGACGTACTTGTTTAGTTCAGTGTTTATATCTGAACCTGCATCTGACTGGGATGCTCCAGTAAAGCTTTTTATTTTTGAACAAAACAACGAGCTGTAAATAAAGTATCGACTAAGTAACTTTAGGATCGATACGCTCCGTGACCCAGGCTGGACGTTACTATCTACGTGAAAAATGAAAAGTAAAAAGATGAAGCAACTGGACTTGTGTTTTGGAGCTGTAAACACACGGAGCTACAGATTTAAACAGCGAGACTTGAGGTTAGTGTCTTATCGATCCTTCAGCCCTCCTCCTGATGAAAAAGTCAGATGGAATGTAACATGAGCGTTCACACTGCAGTCACTTTGAAAACATCAGATATGTATCAGATTCAGAACCACATAATGAAACGACCTGAGTCAGATTTGAAAAGATCAGATATGGGTTGCATTTGCCTGCAGTGTGAACATAGCCATAGCTAAACGCCTTGAAATTGGCCTCAGTGACTTTATGAACATCCTACTATTTCTGACAATCCCACTCAAGCTCGTCTTCACAAGAGTGCTTCAGGGGAGCTTTGCTCTTTGGGGCGGGAGCTTGGCTGAAGACTGAGTCGGTACAACAGGCGGTGCTTTGTACCAGCAAGTGTTTATGCAGCTCCTCATGGCTCCCACAGGAGATACAAGGATTCCTCAAATGTGCATGAATGAGTCAAAGCAACACTCTGGATATGTTTTTGATGAGGGAGTAAAATTATAACATGACATGAAGCTCAAAAAATTCAAGTTTGCATTTCAGGCTCTTTTAAGAAATTTGATGTTTAAATTTATTAGTCGTGTCAATAATTGCTGTAACTGAATAATAACATGTCTGATTAACATAAGGCTAAGTGTAACGTTACCATTCTCAGTTGTGGAGGTGCTGGTACAGGTGTCTTTTGTAGAGTGTATTTCTTATTTCATTGTTTCCCAACCCTGGTCCTCTGGTCGCAAATCATCAAATTTTATTACAGACTCGAGATCCACAAATCAACATGGAACAAAACAGAGACACAGAAAACAAACAAGACAAAAAAATAAAAAACTAGATACCGCACAGCAGTAACATAATGACCCCCACACGCACAAACGCACCAGAACTCAGAAGTCTTTATTCCTGATAAATGTCATGCTACTAGATGCATCCCAAAATTGTAGTGGCTTTGGAGGGGGTCTTTTTTTTTGGATTGGGGGCGGGGTTGACCTGATGGTTAGCCCCTCATCAGAGCTAAACAATAAAAGAAATCTGAAGCTCCTATGTTTAATAGTTTTTGAGCTATAGCCATACACCTTTTTCAGATAAACTGGGGGTCCGGGGTGTGGGGGCACTGTTTGGTGGGCCTGATAGATAGAGCTTCATCAGAGCTAAACAACAAAAGAAATCTGAAGCTTCTATGTTGAACAGTTTCTGAGTTATAAGCATTTTTGCATGTCCAGACACCCCCACTTTGAAAGGAKCCCCCTCCTCAAATATGGGGTCTATCTTAAAACCATTGGCTGGCGCAGTGTAGGTCAGACTCATCTACAGTCCTGCCAAATTTCATGTTGATCGGTGCAGCCATTTTTGTGCTACGGTTGACCAAAAATCTCCGGAGAATGAATGAATAAATAAAATAAACAGTACGAAAACAATATGACTCCCGCTTACGCTTCGCGTGCGGGGGTCATAATAAAATACATACAGTGGGGCAACTATACAATATTAGCCAGGGTTTTCAACCCTGGTCCTTGCAGCACACTGCCTGATTCAGATGACTGCAGTTCAACTGCAGCCTGTTAATCATTCATCAATTGAAATCAGCTGTATTGAAGCAGGGAACCATCTAAAATATGCAAGGCAGTCGCCTCGAGGACCAGGGTTGAAAAACACTGGCTTATATTGTATAGTTGTCCTATGTATTTTATTATTATTATTATTATTATTATTATTATTATTATTTATTTATTTATTTATTTATTTATTTATTTATTTATTTATTTATTTATTTATTTATTGTCTTGTTTGTTTTCTGTCTGTGTTTTGTTCCATGTTGATTTGTGACCAGAGGACACCAAGTTACATAATTAAGGTTTTCTTAAATATGGTTTGTGAAAATGTTATGAACAAATAATACCTTACTTGTTGTAGATATCTCTTTGAACATCCTTAGTTTGGAGAATTAGTTAAATTCTGACCAGATTAACAAGTGAACTACTAGTTTGAGCAGAGCTAAGACCAAATTGATTTACTGCTGTCTTAAAGCAGCTCCCGTTTGTGAGAACTATATTTTATAAATCTTTACACCACAGGTAATTTACCTTTGCACGACTACTAGCAAGAGCAAGCGGCAGCTGCAGCTTGCTGTAGCACTTCACATGCATACATGAGCACTTTTAGCAGGTATTTTAAATTTAAATTTATGTATTTGTAGGTGAGCAGTCCACACTATCTTATTTAGCAACATTTATTTAGGAACAACAACAAAAAAAAAAAAAAACAGGAAGTACGCTCAGTGCAGCTGGCTCCTCCTCATTATAACCATCAGAGTTGTTTAGGTGTTTGTTCAGGACTCTTCAGCTCTTTTATCATGAAATATGACCTCAGTCACTGATAATCCTACGACTACGAGTCATTCAAAGAAACATTTTGTGTTGAAACGGTTTAACTAAAGGTAAATTCCTCTCGTTTTCTTCTTCCTCCACAGGCTCTGCAGGTGTTCGAGTCCCACGCCGGCATTCTGGGACCGGTCGAGTTTAAAGAGTTTTCTCTGCCTTACCTGTGTGACATCGCTCGCCGTGTCAAAGACAGACTGAAGGAGAAGGACCAGGATGTTCCCATGGTGAGAACACCTGACGTGCACATCAGCTGCTCACTTGGAATTAACACACCTTTACATTTGTTGTCTGTACTTATATAGCATGTTTAAAAACAAGAAGGCTGACCAAAGGGCTTTGCAAGCTGGTTAAAAACAGAAAACAACAAGTCACACATAAACAGGTACAATTATAAGGCAAAAAACAAACAAACTAGAGAACATAAAAGATCTGATGGAACTCAAACTAAATTAAAATGTTATTTCAGAAGATTTAAAAGACTGTATAGACTCCTCAGTATGAATATGAAAAGGCAGGTTGTTCCAGAGTCTGGGGGCTCGATCCCCTCTGCACATTAATTTAGCTCTCATCCGCACTAAGAGCATCTGGCTGGAGGACCTCAGTCAGGGGGGGTCGAACTCGTTTTCATCGAAGGCCACATGAGCATTAAGGTTGCCCTCAAAGGGCAAGTTGTAATTAACTTGGAGTAAACACAAAATATTCTCATTGCTACAGCTGAGCCCCACTAACAAAAGTAACTGAGCTCTATGTGGTATTTCATGCATAGAAACAGCGGTTTAACACGTCCTCTTATGAACACTGAAAAGCTGACTAAATGTGAAATTAATAATAGAGAAATACTAGTAAAAGTAAGAGAGTTTTACTCACTAATTAGTTGTGAGAAGCGTCTGAACTCTCCCACTTTCCAACAGGAAACTCCCACTGGAGGGCCATTCCAGTTTAAATTTAAAGGGGCAATGTCATGTAAAATCAACTTTTTTGAGTTTTATATCATGTTATAATGTTATACTCTCATAAAAAACATGCTCAAAGCCTTGCTTTGACTCATTCATGCATGTTTGAGAAATCCTGCAGCGTTTTTAGGCAGCCATGCTGAGAAGGAAAACAACAGGTGGGGACCAGAAACGCCTTTTGGGACCAGAAACGCCCCTGGGACGTGTCTTTAAGCTGAACGTCCTCATGGCAGAGGGCCCACACACACACACACACACACCCCGCCCATGACTCCTGCAGGCTCTTGGCAGTAACAGAGCAAAAGTGAAAGTGAAACTTAGCTGTCTATTGAGATCCACTACTTCTCATTCAGTGAAGCTCTTTTCAGATTCAAAATACCTTTGAGGAAAAGGATTTTTTAAAGCCAAGTAAACTGCATCATAGCGCACGCGCGAAACAAACCATATACCAATCAGATAATATAGATGTTTAGAAACAGAACCACATCAAGTGTATTTTCTTTTTTCATGAGTAAATCAGGCACCTACTGAGTGAAATTAGGTCATTAAGAGTGATCAGGTCTGCAGGTGACCTGCAGGGGGCAGCATTTCTCTGTAAATGGGTTTACTTGGTGTGGAAGCCTGTTTGAATGTTTGTGTGCGTTACAGATTGTGTTTGCCAAAGATGCTCACTACGCTTTAGAGGAACTGTCGGAGTCTCGCTACGAGGTGGTGGGCCTGGACTGGACCATCGACCCCCGATCAGCACGGTAATATACTGATGGGTTTTTTCAGTGAGCTCTGAGTTAAACGTCTCATCCCTCTTCTGTGTGGATGATAAGACGAGGTAAAAAGCTTCTAGTGTGTGTATGTGTGTGTGTGGGGTGCTCTCCAAACAGCAGGTTAACTATTGCTGACCTCTGTCGTCTTCTGGTTTGTCACTAAGAGCAGGATTTATGTCAACAAACATCTGCGTTTCCTGCTCTTCTCATCAAATACTTAACCTGCTGGTTAAAGGATTAACTAGTGTGTGTGTGTGTGTGTGTGTGTGTGTGTGTGTGTGTGTGTGTGTGTGTGTGTGTGTGTGTGTGTGTGTGTGT